CTTATCCACATTGAATGCCATCCTGTTGTCCCCTCCTCACTTCCATAGCCTGTCCAGGTCCTTCTGGATTTGGATCACCTGCTTCTCAGTTGTGGCCACCACCCCCACTTTGGTATCATCAGCGAATTTAGTCAGCAGGCTGCTTATCCCCTCCTCCAGGTCATTGATAAAGGTTGAACAGAATTGGTCCTAGAACTGAGCCCTGGAGGACTCCACTCATCACCAGCAGCCATCCTGATGATTCCCCACTGATAGTCACCCTCTGCTTGTGATCCATCAACCTTGCCCTTAATCCATCAGTGCATCTGCCTATCCCAAAACCCCTCAATTTCTCAGCCAGGATATAATGTGGCACTTTGTGAAAGGCCGTGCTGAAATTCCAGTAAACCACATCCACCATTTCTCCTCTGTCTAGCCACCTCGAGACCTTATCAGAGAATTCCACAACATTCATCTGGCAGTACTGTAATAATTAGAAAGTCTGAAATACAGAGTTTGAGAATCACAATACCAAAAGTTAATAAGAATCATGATACCCAACTATGAGACAGAGACATGAAGTGAGCGACCCCTGCTGGAGAAATCATGCCAATAGATGACGTGCTTGGCACAGGGTTATATCTGCAAATCTCAATATAGAGGCATACCTCAGAGATGTGGTGGGTTCTGTTCCAGACCACCGCAATAAAGCAAAAATAGCAATAGAGCAAGTCACACATCAATCTAATAATTGCAGAGAGTAATATATGCGAAGTGCAATAAAGCGAGGCACAATAAAATGAGGTATACCTGTAGACAGAGGTATGCCTACACTTCACTTGAGGATAAGGATGTGATACAGCCAAAGTTAAGCACTTAAGACATTTTATTGATTTCAAAGTGCTTAGCTTTCATTGGATTGTTACCTGAATGATTTTGTGTTGCAGTTGCGAAAATTACCATTGAGTTTCCCTGCAGTTATGTGGAAAATCCATTCAGTATTGATTTTAAAAGCAGTATAAAATGCTGTTGGAGCAGGAGCCATGCGTTACTTTATGTTGTGCAAGCGTGTGTGTGTGTGGGGAGGTGGAATCAGGGCAGTTATATAGGTTGGTTCCCATTGGATGTCACATCATGGTTTGGCATTATGTGAGTGAGTCTTCTGGTCATGCACTTCCATGGTTTAATCTTAATTTGCAATCCTAGTTTGGAGGATTGCACAAACCAGTTTGCCTGATGTTTCAGCCTTAAGAACTTAAAAAGAGCCCTGCTGGATCAGGCCAAGGGTCCATCTAGTCCAGCATTCTGTTCACAGTGGTCAGCCAGCCACCAACAGGAAACCCACAAGCAGGACATGAGTCAACAGTACCCTCTCACCCAAGTTCCCCAGCGACTGTTGCACATAGGCATACTGCTGCTGATATTGCAGGTAGTGTGTGAAGTATATAGCTCTCAAGACTGGTAGCTATTGATAACTTTATTTTCCAAGAATTTGTTTAGTCTCCCTTTAAAACCAACCAAAGCAGGGGCCATCACTATAACTTACAAAAGTGACTTCCATAGTTTAACTACGCAGTGTGTGAATAAGTACTTCATTTTAGCTGTCTTTAATATCCCATGTATAATCTTCATGGGATACTTGGGGTTCTATTATTAAGAGAGAGCTAGTGTGGTGTAATGGCTAAGAGTGCAAGACTGGGATTCAGGTGATCTGGGTTCTAGCCCTGCTCAGCCATGGATCCAACTGGGTGATTTTGGGCCAATCACAGACTCTCAGCCCAACTTACCTCACGGGGTGGTTGTTGTGGGGATCGAGAGCAGGAGAATTCTGTACATCTCTTTGAATTCTTGGTAGGGAAAAGGCAGGATATAAATCCAATAAATAAATGATAGAAAAGAAGAAAAATGTCACTCCGTCTACTTTCTCCACACCATGCATAATTCTTTACACTGCTGTCATGTCTCCTCTCACCTGTTTTTGAAGCTAGCGAATCCCAGCTGTTCTGTCCTCAGCCAGGTGAGAGGACTACAACTCACATAATTCCTGTTGCTTATATGGGCTGGGAATGATGGGAGTTGTAATAAAACGTCTCTGGAGGGTGCTAACTTTGGTAAGACCTGAATACCTATTGCAGACTTGGCACCTCCAAGGCAACAAAAAGTGTGGTTTTGCCAGCAACCACTGGAGATAATGCCATTGGCGATCTCCCCCTCCCCCCACCCCCTTTTGCTGGTCACACACACACACACAGGATTTGGAGAAGCTGTCTTGCCTTTAAGGATCCACAACCAGAGATGAGAGGCCTAGTCCAGCCACACTGGCCACCCACACAAGGCAAAAGCAGGCCTTCTCCACTCTCTTTTGCTGCACCCCTCACCAGGGCTATAACTCTTCCACCACTGAAAGGATCTGCATTCCATACTGTATACTAGATGTTGCTGTTACTCACCAAATCATCTTAGCATGTAACCACATTTCTCCAGATTTATGTACTCTGCTTCACTGTCAATCATTCTCCATAGAGTTAACACACAGTGACACTGCTGGCTCCAAAATAAAGATGTGACTGTATGTCCTACCAGTTATATTCTCCAGTTTCTTCTTAAAGTTTTTTCCATGCAGGATTCTGTTAAGATAGAATATATTTTAGAGAACAGATCCTTTTTCTTGATGTACAGTTTATAATAAACGTTTTCATTTGGGTCAGAGGAGCTTAAGGGCTCTGTGTGAAAGCGCCCTTCGTTACCGTAACCTCTCCTGCAGTGAACAGCCATGCATGGTTGGCAGTCGTGATGTTCTTCTTTAATTAGCCCCTCAGGTTCAGTTCTCGGGCTAGAATCCGACCTTTTTCTAATGTGTCAAAACTTAAGGCAACTGCAGTTTGTGTACTGTGCCATTAATGCACAAAATGGGATTTAGTAAGATGCTTGTGCTCGTAAACACAGTAGACTGTCCTTTTATTTTTTTTCCAGTGAATATTTTATTTGCTCCCCAAGCAGCATCAAAGCACTGAATTCTCTTAAGGAAAAACACCAGCAAGGACTGTGTCTGGCCCAAGAGGGACTGGGCACTGAAATGTGTTATAAACAATGACTTCCCTACAGAATTTTTTGTGTTGAAGTAATTAATAATTCCCAAGACATTCGGGGTCTTTGAAATGTGATGTTCATTAAAATATAGCCCTGCTTCCACTTTCTCACATGAAAAGTTTCTCAAAATAATTTAATGTTACAGAAGACCATTATCTGCATGTGTGTTTACAATGAGATGTGGAGCCTTTTAAAGATGAACCCCACAAAATTAGTCAATATTTTAAGATGTTTTGCCCTTGAATTAAAAACAAATGCAGCTTGACTGGTTATGTTAAAATTGGGCTCTCTTTGTGTTTGAAAATATAGGGCATTTTTGTTCTTGCAGAGTAGAGTTATACAGTACGCCACATCCAATTGATTTACAACTACATCCAGTTTCTGGAACTGAAAGCTGATGAGTCTGGGAGAGTCAACAAGTCTGCTAAACTGAGGAGAAAAGCCACATTGGACCATATGTGGACTGTAGCTGAAGCGACGCTTCCTCTATTGTATCAGATATGGGCAGAAATATGTGCAAGCTACATAGTTCTCCAAGAGGTTTGCAGTAGATCAACAAGGATTTTCCATTCCCACTGACTTAATTGTAATATCAACAAGAACAAGTCTTAATTCCCCTAAATTTAGCTGCCAGAATTAAGAAAGCTTGCAGTGGGGGTGAGGGCAGGAATAGATTTATGTGTAGCAGAATTTGTGTGTAATTTCCATTCTTGGACAAATAGGCTTGTGTGCCTGTGTGTGTGTGCAGACACAGACAAGCACAGAATCACTTCTTTCAGATAATCACCTGAGAAAATTAGAAGTAGAATTACCTAATTGTATCCATCAATTATGTTGCCAGGTAATTTGTAGGAACTAAATGTTTGTCCATGGGAAAAAAATACAGTCGTGAGAACAGTTTCCATCACAGAAACACTTCAAGCTCACATCACTGATTGTGGCACACCTGCCCAGAGGCACCTCCCTATCATAATTTGTATTTGACATGATGGCCAGCAATGTAGCAGCTGTGTTGCTGCAACCATTTTCTTCTCTTACAGTGCTCCATAACATTTCCGTTTCCAGGTTATTGGGATGGGAAACTATGAGAACCAGAAGCTGCTTGAACATCATAAGAACAAGAAGTAGTGTATCATTATGACACAATAGTATGTTTTAAAAAAATAAGTCCCATGGCAGACATCAGTTTTAGAAGAGGACTCACCAACATATGTGAGCCTGCAAGAAGGCATGTTGTTGAGGGCCCCCTCAGTCTTGGAGATGGCCTGAAAGTGATATTAATTGCCCATAATATACAGTTTCTCCTTTATAGTTATTTGGAGAGTGACAGCTTTTCCTTCAGCATTTTACTTGCACTGGAGTTTGTTTGCCCTGTCAAAATCCTTGTGCCTTCTCAGAGAAGTGGCTTGGTTTTCAGACTTTTTGTTTCAGTCTATTTTTGTTTTGTTTTCATTCTGATCTTACATGGTCTCTATTCACACACAGTAGTGAACTGCTCGTGGCAAATAAGCTGTGCGCTCCCTTTTCAAGGCAGAATCACAAACCAGGGTTGGTTCTTGTTGTATAAACCATGGCTTGTTTGAGAGTGACAGGCGAGGACCCTCAGTTTGGACAACATGCAAAGCAATCCATTCCTGGAATGTTTAGCCAGTTGTGCTGGTAGAACTTAAACAAGAGAAAACTATTTGCTCATTACAAGCCATGATTCTCTAGAATGCTGGTTTATCATTTTGTGCTAATAGAGCATCCTCCAGTGCCATTCTCACATATTTTTACATGCCCTGGGAATGTTGCTGAATTGATATGTATGTGCTGTGACTGTTTAGTATTACCCAAACCTTGTTTTTCAACTTTTTGCTCTGCGTGTCTTTCTGGAAAGGTTGCTATATTCTGATTAAGATATTACTTAATGCATTATTATTCTTTTGCAGTCATCATGTACTTTGGAATACTGTTGGCTGTTGGCATTGGGGCCATCATGTATCTGTTCCTGACTAAGAAAAAAGAGGAACCTGTTTCCATGGGAGATGGATGGTGGGGCAAAGGAGAGAAGCCGGGCTTTGAAGAAGATGCATCTATACGTCCTTTTAAGGTGGAAACTTCAGAGGCTGAGATCAATGTAAGGAACACTTTCTTCTAGATATACAAGTATCAGGAAATATTGGGCTTCGTAGCACAATCCTAACCATCTGGAGTTCAGGTCCACAGGACAAAAAATGCATATATTAATTTACATATGCTCTAAAGTTCATGTCTGTGCATATCTTTAAAGGATTCTGTGTCCTAAGCACACTTGTATAGGAAAAAGGGATGTTTGGACAGGGAGTTCATAAAAGCACCTCAAACAGAATTGGGGGTTTATTTATTTATTTAAAGTTTTTATATGCCATCCAATACCAGAGTCTCTGGACAGCTTACAAAAAACAACAACATACCAACAAACAACACGCTGCATCTGACCATTAATGATAAAATCAGACATAAAACCAATTAAATGTTAAAATGTTGGGAAAATAAAAAGAGGTTCAGAGGCAGCAGAATGTGATGCCCATGGGGGCAAAAAGCAAGCTAATCCAGGGGAATCAGATGCAACAGAAATCATCAGGGTCTTCTACTTTTATTTCAGCAAGTGCCCATGGACAGTCGGAGGGTGGGCAGATGGCCTCCCAGAGATTCAGGCCTCCAAATGAAAGATTCAGGGGACCAGCCCTAGCAGGGCATCCCCTAACACCACCTTTGCTAAACATACTTTCTTAAAAATATTAAAATAGAACATCTGTCCAAGGAAATGTGGTTAGAGTTGCATTTCTAACCAGTCTCATCAGCTTCTGAACATCAAACTAAATGATTTGAACAGGTGAAATGTGCTTAAAACAAGCTACCAGCTTTGTAAGCTCAGCCTTATTTTTGAATAAAGTCAAGAACTGTAGGAGCATAGAAATATGATACACAGAGAAATGTAGGCCTGTCACACAAGTGCTAATAGCAGTTATTTTCTCTGCAGCAGTAATTGCTACAAGCAGATTAGTTCAGAGGTCATGGCTGTATCATATTAATCTAGACGTGACCCTCCTGTCATCCATGCTATGAACAGAGAACAATATCATAACGTGTTGCAGTTGCCCGAGTGTGTTAATCAGGCTATTTTCTGCTTCACACATTGAAGTTAATAGCTTTAAAACAATGAAATAAAAAAGGGAACGGCAAAACACCAAGTGGTCTCTTAATGTTAGCAACTTTATTTGTTTATTTAAAACATTTGTACGCTTTAACACATGCTGTCTTGATGCTGCACTCGGTTCTCTGAGCAAGCCTTTAAATTCTGGACCTGTGGCTGTGACTGAACTAGTTTCAGGCACAGGGAACTGGCCAGATTTCAGAGCATTGCATGTTCAGGCAAACTGCATTCCCCATTTCTCTACAGCAATCAAACAAACCCACATAAGAGTATTGTGTAACTTACAGCAAGGGTGGGCAACCAGAGATATGGGACCACGGCTCCCGTAGTCTGTAAAGTAGCAGCCAATCACCAGGGATCCACCCCTGGCCTGCAAGACGAATGGAGAATGGGCAGTCTTCAGTCAATGGGACAAGGTGGGAAATGTGTCACAAACAGGTTCACAACACAGGGAAGCATCGCTCTTGGCGGGAGTGTTGAACCTCTTTCAGGCTGAGGGCCAGATTGCATTTCTGAGAACTCTTGATTGCTCCCTTCCAGGGGAAGGTGGGGATGGAGTAGGGATGTGTGAGAAATCCACTCTGGAGCAGGGAATCTGTTGGATTCCTTCAGCTTGGATCCATGGACTCTGGCCCACTTTCTTGTGGCCACAAGTCCAACTTGGCACACAGTACACCAAACATTTGCATTAGACTTTCAGCCTAATTACCTCAGAGGGTTGTTGTGAGCATAAAAGGAAGAGAAGGAAGATCATATACAAGTTCATATACATTGCTCATTGGAGGAAAAGCCTGGATGTAAATGTAGTAAAATGTAGTTGTAGTGCAGCCAGTAACTTTGTCGAAAAAGCTTTTTTGTGGGGGTTGGAAGCCACCAAAACAACAAAAGATACACACAAAATAGAAGGATGTTCCTTCCTGTTGTGGCATCATAGATTTATGAACTAAGGACAAAAGTGTCTTTACACTGGCATGTGATGCATTTAATTTCATCTTCTTTTCTGTCATATATTGCTGTATTCTAGTATTTACACAGGAGACTCGATGAAGCTAGATTGGCTGAGTCTTTAGATCATGCCTGCTTTCATTATGGGTTTAACTCAGCTTATCTTAAGAAGGTCATCTCTTATTGGAGAAATCAGTTCGACTGGAAGAAGCAAATAGAAGTTCTCAACAAATATCCCCAGTTCAAAACAAAGATTGAAGGTTTGTGGCCAGTAATAATGCATTTGATGCTTTTTCCTGCTGAAAACTGGGGCGCAGTCTGAAGAGCTGAAGCTGAGGAATCTGATGGATTTCCACCCCCAGATGGACACCTTATGCATTCCTCTGCCCCAGTGCCAGACACACAGTACTGGGGTGGAAAGTCCCAGTGGCATTCAGTTTGGTGCTGTGCATGCAGATCTGGACTGAGGCCAGCACCATGCGCAACTACGCTACCAAATGTAGAAAAGTCTCCTTTTAAAGAAGTCAAGAGGTCTGACACCTTTCTTTAAACAGTGACCAGTCAGATTCTCCTGTGGTACTCATTGGTCATGGCGTGATGGAGACAGGGGTCCCTCAGCACCTAGCAGTCTAGGTGTTTGATACCTTCATCCACTGGGTGAAGGGTAGAGATCCCTGCTACATCTTGTGACAATAAATTCTATATTTTAATGAGTTATTTGCTGTTGTGAACAGGTCTTTTCCTCTCCAGTAGTCTCAGATGAGACTTTAGAAGCACAGTCAGTCTTTTTATTAAAGCGTAACAAGGTACAAAACTGTGTAAATCAAAGTAGCATTCTCCTTGAGATGTAGGAGAAGCATCTGCCCATGTAAAGAGTTGAATCAAAACTGAAACTTCCCCACTTTGCTTCCCTTTCTGAAAAGATTCTGATTCCACCCTCAGTGTAGCTTCTGCAGCTTGAGGGCTAGGCAGTGGGAATCCCAGACCCTTCTTAATTGGTCTGCTTGTTTTACCTGTCATCTCCTGACAGGGTCAAGGAACTGCCCTTGCATTACCTCCCCTCCAGGTCAGAAAGGTCTCCCTTCTTTTCCATGTTCTGCCTGAAAATCTTCACTAAATAACCTGGAAACTGGAAAGTCCTCTGCCCAATTCTTCCCAACCTTCATCAGAATCAGATGAATCTATCTGAGCAGACGGTAACATGCAAGAGCTGTGCCCTGGCTCGCTTCATTTCCAAGAAGAGAGAACACATCTCAGGAAGTTAGAAAAATTGCTTTTACCTTAAGGAGTTGACCCAGATTTTCCTGGGGACATTCTTCAGAGGTATTTTTAATATAGCCTTTCCCAGAACTCTGGCAGGTACACCTCATACATATCAATAACCAGCAGGTATTCCATCTTTTTCTCTTTAATGAATTTAATGTGATAAGAAAAAAATGGACTGGAGAAGTGAAGATAAAACACGGAAGGGCTGGGAGAAGTTGATGTCATCTAGGCTGCCAGCAAAATTCCATGAGTGAAGCAGGTTGGTGGCTCTGAAAAAGCCCCATCTAAAAGCATCCTCAGTCTGGATCCTATTCCTCACAACTACCCCATTTCTCAATTCTAGGTGTATATCTGCCTCCCTGAGTGAGTATTTTTAAATTGCAATAAAAGCCTAATCTGGAAGCACCTCTAGAAACACTGATTGTCAGTCAGGCAACGCCACAGTGAGCTTCATTGTGTACGAGCTATTTTAACATGGAATCTGCAATCTACTGCCCAATATTGTACCACACTGACTCTTCTGAAAATTGTTTAGTATGCTGTCTAATTACCCTCTGGTATTTTTATGTGCATTTCTCCTTGGCTTAGGAATCGATGTCCATTTTCTTCATGTAAAACCTTTGCACGTGCCCGAAGGCCGATCTGTAAAACCATTATTAATGGTTCATGGCTGGCCTGCCTCATTCTTTGCATTTTACAAAATGATTCCTATCCTGTTGGACCCCGTGAGCCATGGGCTGAGCAGCGATTACTGCTTTGAAATAATTTGCCCTTCTGTTCCTGGCTATGGCTTCTCAGAGGCTCCTCACAAGAAAGGTAAGTTGGGAAGGAAGTGGAAGTGGTGTAAGTACAGTTGGGTGGGGTGCCCCTTTTTTAGCATGAGGGCCACATTCTGCTTCAGAGAAGCTCTTGGAGGCAGCATTCCAACAGTGGGTTGGGCTGAAGGCAGAAGAGATGGCACCAGAAATGCCAGCATACATTAGTTATGGCTCTTACTGCCACTGACGAAGCTTTAGCAAAAGCATTGCCATGTTTAAGTGGGTCTGATACCAGGTTTGACTGATTCACCGTGTCCCTTTCTAGAGGAGAATGACATGGAAACAGCAGTGCATGTGCTGGGAACTTCTAGGCTTAATTTTTGCAATGCAGTGTGCTTATACTTGTGCATATAATGTTCTGTGCCGCACTTGTGCCTCCTCCAGAAACTGCAACTAGTACAAAATATGGCAGCCAGGCTAGTTTCTGGAGCATCATGAAGAAACCACATACCACCGATATTAAAGTCTCTGCACTGGCTGCCAATAGCCTTAAAGCCCTTCATGTCTTGCATCCAAAATACCTTTTCCCTCTGGGGATAATCTTCTGAAGTTTGTTTCTGTAAGATTAATGTCAACTACCCAAAGGACTTCCTCCCACCAGCCCATTGCTAATCTGTGGAAAGCCCTGCTGGGAGAGAAGCATCTGATATTTCTGACGGCTTCCTTCAAGAGGGAGTTAAAGATATATCTCTTCTGACAGCCTTCCTAGATTAGTTTTATATAGTTTTTTAAAGTCAAAATTATTGACTAAAATAATTAAGTTATTTAATTATTGTTTCCACTTAATCTCTTGTAAACTGCCTAGAGCTTATGGGAGTGGGACAGTATATTAAAAAATGGGGAAGAGAAGGAAAGGGCTGCACAATTCCCAGGAAACCACGGGCCAGGGGAGGAGGCAAGGCCACATGGAAAACCCCGGAGGACTGGTTTGGGATACCTACATACCTTCAGTGGGAGTGCAACCTCATCTGGAATGGGTTGAACAGTCAGAGGGATCCACTCACCAACAGTGCCTCAGTCTTGTCTGGATTGAGCTTCAGTTTGCAACAAAAAGGAGAAATAGGTCTACATGACATCAAAAACTGCTTGGAGGTCCAGGAGTACCAACAGGGCAGCACTCCCCTTATCTCTCTCCCAGCATAGTTACATACCAGGCAACCTTGCCAAAACCAGGGCTAAACCCAAACTGAAATAAATGATGCTAAGGAAAGTCAAAGACAGAAAAAGAAGAGGAAGAACAGATATGAGATGGATAAATTCTGTAAAGGAAGCTACAGCCCTGAGTTTGCAAGAGCTGAGCAGGGCTGTGAAGGACAGGTCATTTTGAGGGCTTTCATTCATAGGGTCACCGTAAGTCAGAGACAACTTGACAGCACATAACAAATCAAATCAGCAGAAAAGTCAGTGTAAAATCATAATAAGACATTTATAAACAAAACTGAAGAACTAAAGTCTAGAAGAATAAAGGTTCTTCACCTGGCTCTGAAAACAGTGTAGGCACCAAACAAGTCTTTCTGGTCATTCCACAATTGGGGTGCCACCACTGAAAAGGCCATCAGCCTTGCTTCATTGGATGAGAGCACCCAGTAGAGGGCTTCTGAAGATGATTGTAGGATCCAAGCAGGTATACTTGGCAGGAGATGATCTTTCAGGTAACCTGACTGTACACCATTTAGGGCTTGAAAAGTAATACCAGCATTTTCAATGAGACTGGAAATGTAATAGAAGCAGGTTCAGATCACAGATTACTGGTTCCACCTGATTGCATTAACCAGGTATAGCATGTTGCCATAAATCCAGCAAGAGGTTACTAGAGCATGGACAACTGTAGCCAAGCTATTTCTGTCCAGAAAGACAGTAGTAGCTGGTATATCAGCCTTTGCTGACAGAAGGTGCTCCATGCCACCCTGGTCTGTGCCACCAGTGACAAAGCTGGATCTAAAAGCACCCAACTACAAACCTGATCCTTTAGGGGGAGTGCAACCCGCTCCAGAACTGGACTACCATCACTTAACTGAGCTGATAAACCACCCATTAACACAGCCTTTGTTTTATTTGGGCTGATTCTGTTTATTGAGTTTAATCCAGTCTAGTACTGCACCTAGGCACTAATTCATTGCCTCACCTGGATTTGATGAAAAGACAATATGGAGGTGGGTGTTATCTTCATATAGCTAACACCTTAGCGCCTATCTCCAGATAATCTCCCAGCTGTTTCATGTAGATGTTGGGCAGCATAGGAACTAAAATGGAGCCCTGTGGAGCCGCATAACATAACTATCAGACATAGAGAAATTGTCAACCAGCACCACTTTTGAAATCAGCATTGGAGTATGTCCACTCCAGTTAGGAGTGGAAATACTCCAATGCGTTATGTTGAACATCTAAGTCAGGCAGTCAATCCAGAAGGATACCATGGTTGGTGATTATTCAAAAGTTGTTAAGTGGCCCCAAAGAATCAACCCTATTTTCCTTGTTCCTCTCCCAGCAAAGAGCAACCAAAGTAAATTCTATTCCAAAATCAGGCCTGAAGCCCAACTTAAATGGACCCAGATCCAGCCACTTCATTCAAACATGTCTGGAGTTGATCGGCAATGACCCAATGAAGCACCTTGCCCAGGAAATGAATGTTATCCACCAACCTATAGCTGTTAAGACATTCCAGATCTAGGTTAGGGTTCTTTGGGAGTGGCCTAATCCCTTTAAACAGGTGGGTACCACCCACTTTCTCAGGGAGGAATGTTTTCTTGAAAAGTGATCCTTGGTGTGACCTGGGGAAAACTGGTGTCTGACAACCTTAGCTAGAAATCCGTGTTTGCTACTTGGGAAAAATGCATTTATGTTTGGGTCATTTCTCTTTACAGGATTTAAGTGTTTGTGTGCTGCTCGAATCTTCTACAAGATGATGCTCCGACTTGGCTTCCGTGAATTCTACGTTCAAGGAGCTGACTGGGGCTGGTTAATCTGTACCAGTCTAGCTCAGATAGCTCCAAGGTGAGAGGGAGCATGTTCTCAATAGAAAAAAGGCACAACAGATTTATTATTTCATGAGTGGTGACTTCACCCCAATTTAGACTGAACATGGTAGCGTTACGTTATAAACTGGATTGTTCTGCTGATCTAAACTGGAGGAAGTGATAGATCATTTGTTCACAGGGGGATTTTTAACCCTAACTTTCCTGACTAGAAGTCAGTTATATGATCAGATTCACTCTTATGGCATTACTCTACCAGATTCTGAATCCCGAAACATAAGGATTGACTGGGTGTTATTTGTCTGGATGTTTTGGGAAGACCAGCTGAGGAGACAGAGACTGGTGCTGCCATGCATTTCCCAAAAATTATAATTTGGGCCTCAATGTTCTCTTTTACCATACATTTCCTGTATTGAATGGCTTCTTCAACATATTCCCTGTTGCTATTGTTGCTGCTGTTTATACAGCAACAAGATCAGGGTTAAATCTAAAATGTAGTGAGCACTGCAATAATGCACTTTTGCTAAACTAAAACATTTGTGTTCAGATGCTGTATTCTCAATGGACATTTTTGTCTGCCAAACCTTAACTCATTTTAATTTCCTTTTTTGCTGTTCTTGCTGAAAATTATCATCATTATTAGTGGGGGTGGTAGTAGTATTTTCCCCTTGCAAGCTTTTCCTTCTTTCCTTTTATTCTCACAACCACAACTCAGTCAGGTAGGTAAGGCTGAGAATGAATGACTGATCCAAAATCACCCAGTGAGCTTCATGGCTGAGTGGGGACTAGAACTGGGGTCTCCCAGTCTCAACCCGCTCTCCTAACCATTATGCCACACTGGACAGAGAGAGGGAAGGACTTTGCTGTTTGCCCTCTTTAACCATAAGTTTATTCTTGGGTAAGCCCATCTTTGCTCCTGGCCCCAAATGATCATTCCCTCTCCAGGAAGTCAACTCTATGATCAGTGGCTTTGCAGCAACTCCAAATGGATGCCCTACACCAGGGTAGTTGGAAGGGGAATCTGGGTGACATTTAGCCAACACTCTTAATATTAGAAATATGAGAGCTTGTTGGAAAAGAAACTTCCTGGCTATGAAGGAAAAGGTAACATAAAACAGCTGAATACATTTCAGTATTTTTAAAAATTGTCCTGTCCTGCCTAGGCAAGAGGTGAATATCTGTTAACAGTCATTCTTGAGTGGCCCCTAAAAGGGTGACTAAGATAATTCACCATTCTTAACTTTAGCAGATCTCTGCTTGCTTGAGATTTCAGTTCCCAGAAGCTCCTTCTAACGTGGCCATTGGTCTGGAATCTGGGCATTCAACTGCCAGGCATCTGGAGTTCTGCTTTCTGCCCTTCCCTAGGATATGTGTGTTTTTAAAGTAGGAAACCAGTTACTCAGCGAAGGTCCCCATCAGCCTACGGATAAAGGAGCACCATGAACTTTCAACACCTACCAACTATATTACAAGAACCAGGTGTACACGGAAACTGTACCTCTGGTTTATTCAGTTATAGCCTCGTGGGTGTGCTCTCAGACTTATGCCTTCCTGATGTTAGCATATTTTTCTCTTACAAGCTTCAGTCCAAATGGCAAAAGGGGATTTGCTGATTAAGGTACAGAACTGATACAGACATTTTATTGCACAATGACTCTAACTTGTTTTTTTTGAAAAAAAAAAATTTAGCCACGTGAAAGGCCTTCATATAAACACACTAGCAGTGAGAACTGTAGAATTTAAGCAGCTTCTCTCCCTTCCCTTCGGACGGTTTTTTCCACGACTGCTTGGTTTCTATCCGGAGGATATCCAGCGAGTATTTCCTTTAACAACCAAATTCTTACATAAGATGGTGACGGAGTTTGGCTATCTTCACCTGCAAGCTACAAAGCCTGACACTATTGGTAAGATGTTTTCACTCTACGGAGTAAACGGCATTCCTGGGATTAGTTAATAAATGGTTGTCTGTACAGTGCTATTGCTGCATGTCTCCCACTCAGCTAAATGGAACCAGGGTTTGGCTTCCTTCTGGAGAAAAGATCACAGGGAAATTATTCCCATAAGTATTCAGCCATGTTCATCCACTAGTGCTAATTATGCTACAGTAGGGGAAACCAACACTTGCTCAGCCATAACTAGCAATTCTTATGCCAGCACCATAGGTGGAGGCAAGTGGCAGAAGCACTCATAGCAAGCTGAATACCCAATAATCCACTTATGGTCCTAAAAAAAGAGAGGGGTCTACACCTGTATGTGCTCTCTTGATGTTCCATGCTTTGTCAGTTTTGTGGATGACATCTATGTTTTGCAAGAGGTTGTGCTGGAAGGATGTGATATAGTTTGGGAATGGATGTGTCACAGGCCAACTAAATCACATATTCTTTGAGATAAGATGATTTATTTTGAGGGCTGGGAAAAAGCTACCCCAGTGCTCCCAGCTAGCTGATCAAGACACATGAAATGGAGCAGAGGGAGGTGAGCAAAAGACAAGTAAGAAAAGCAATCATGTTAGGAAGATTCTTCTCATGGTTTGATTGTGGGCAGATGGAAGATGGTTCATGCTGGTCAAAATACTAGCTGTTGGACTCGAGTATTATGGAAAAAAATCATACCTTCATAGCTACTTGATTCAGCTTGAATTCCCCCCACACCTCCTCTCCGTGTTAACCTCCTCCAGATATTTGCAGAGTTGATGCTGCATTTACTGATAGCATTCACTGGAACCCCTGGCATAGTCAACTGAATTTGGTGGTACAGCAGTGGCCTTAAATAATGTTGGCCAGTCTGCCATAGCAATTTTGCTGCCCTATTTTGGACCAGCTGAAAATTCCAGACCATTTTCAAAGGCAGTCCCAAATGTAACATTTCAGTAATCCAGGAGGTTACCAGAATATGAATAGTTGTAACAGAGCTGTCCCTCTCAAGATTAAGATAGAGTTGACATATCAACAGAAACTGATGAAAGGTGTTGTGTGTCATAAAGTCCACCAGTGCCTGTAATTACAGTGTTGTACCCAAAAACATCCCCACACCAGATCATTTATAGGATGTGCAACCACTCTGGAAAAGGTTGACCGTTAGTAATGCAGACAGGTGAACTAACCACTAATCAAACCACCCACTAATAGTACCTGTGTCGTGCCTGTACTGAGTCTCAGTTTACTGGCATTCATCTAGTCCAGTATCATGTGTAGGCACTGGCTCACTTGGACTTGATGAAAAGAAGAGATAGAGCTGTGTTTCATCCATATATTGATGATATCTCAGTTTGTATCACCAAATAAACATCAATCGGAAGTTCATGATCATTGGGTAGATGTTAATTCAGATACCGTTTTCCACCTCATTCTGGAAAAACAAAGGAAGGAAGTGTCCTTTTAATGTGTTTGGTCAATGATATGTTGAGACAACCCCATAGTAGTTACAGCAGCCATGAGTCCTGAGCTGCACTGGATCTGGCAGAAGAAGTTGAGACCCTTCTGAACCATCATTGGAAGAATCTCAGTACCAAATCTAAATCCAAGATAACCTCTCTCAGCTGAGGCATGGATTTGGTGCCCCAGCAGAATCCCTAATCTGTCTCAGGTACTTAACCCAAGGTACAAACACTCAGGATCAACACTTGAATGGGCAAGGAGCCTAGAAAGGAGATGACCACCGCAAACCCACTCTCTGACTCTCAAGTTGATGCTGGTGCTGCCCTGAGTACTCAGGAGGGCACAGCTGGGAGAGACCAACCCTTCCCAGTTCCCCACCCAGGTCTCAGTAATGCACACCATGTCAGCCCTCTCATTCATAAGTTAACCATGGATGAGGGAGAGTTTGCCTTGGACTGACCTGACATTGGACAGCAGCACCCACCGTCCTGGAGGCAAGCTGTTAAGGCAACCAGGAACTACCTGGTTGAGGAAGAACCACAGGAGGAGCGAGGCTGCTTGGAAATCCCCCAGTGCCATGCCTCCCCTCCCCATGAACCACAGAGTGTGTCACTGAACTTCAGTCTCCCAAGTGGAAGGATGGGGAACTTCTGCTTAAGGACTATCCAGACAGGAGAAAAATCCAACCCCACACCAATTGTTAGCTTATTTATTTATCTGGCTCTCTAGGTTGCTCACAGTGCAATATATGTAAAATACAAGTAAAAATAAATAGCAAAAGCAAAACAACCAGAAAATATAACAAAATTAAAATACAATATAAATACAGCCATATAAATAGGAAACAGGAGGAAATATAACCGATATATAACAATATAACCAATAACAATTACCAGTAAAACGATAAAACAACAAACCAGCAACAAACCAATAGATCAATCTGAAAACAGATAATAAAGAAGAATTGTCTTGGCACTGAAAGCAACATAAAGTGGGGGCCAGTTGTATCTCCCTTTGGAAGAGAATTCCAAAGGTGAGGTGCAATGACCGAGAAGGCCCTTTTCCTCACCAATTCCCCCCCTCACCTCATTCGGGGGGGGGGGGTCATGAAGGACGGCCTCTATTGATGCTTCTGTTCATCACAGATCAATAAGGTATTTGCACTAGGGAATTCAGGTACTTGCCTGCTGTGAAGTCATCAATTGGGAAGTGGGGCTATGGAACAAGTTTCAGAAGAAAAATGTTTTTACTGAATGCATATGGGGCAGAAATACAATTATATACATGCTCATATTAAAGCTTTTTAGAGACTCATGATTTCTTTTCTCTACAAATTAAAAACTCTAAGCAAAAATCTGGCCATGCCTTGATAAAATGTGATCATGTCACTGGAGGCTGCAAGTGGCCATCTCTGGTCTACCGGATGTCTCAGAAAATGCTACCTCATCCCAGAGTTCTGATTAAGAGTTCATGGTGGAAGGGTTCACTGGTAATACAGCATTTTACAAGCAGCTTCCTTCCCTGCTTACATAGAGACTGTTCTGGGACAATCATACTTTGGTTGAATAGACAAGATATCAATATACCTAGGAAGCCCTTTTGGGGAAAGAGCAACCAAATCAAGAAGTCTTCCATTAACTATTGTTTATAGTCTTACACAAACTGGGAAATTATGTTCCCAAGCTGTTAATTATGGCTTCCCATTCACAGAATCAGAAGGTATGTGGGTTTCTTTGCTTGTGTGGCAAAGGAAGAATGGAAAGGGCTGCATGCATGGGCAAAAGGCTTGTTCCAAGCTCAGCTCTTTAAGAGAGAATATTAGCATCTGAACCCTTCCATCAAGTACTACAGCATAGGCAACAGGCATATATAACAGGCAGGCAAAACCAGGGAGGATTGAGTTGGTGGGATAAGGCTGCAATCCTACACACAGTCAGATAGATTCCAGCATTTCTGGTTAAACTTGCCTAGGATTGTGCCTTAAAGATTTAAATGCTTTCCATCACCCGCAACTTGCAGTGAGTGCAAAAACGGCCTAATATGGTTGCTAATGTTATTTGGGGAGACATTTCTGGGGCAATCTTGGCATAGGCTGAGCTAGTAGCTCTTGTTTTTATGGAATTTTAGTGTTTGTAAAGCTATGGAAGTTCAGCTTTCTGTAGAAAATAGGATAGGGAAAATTCCAGGAGTTGGTTTTAAGGTGAGCAAGTCTTGAGTATGCTGGTAAAGCTGGGGGCAGAGGAGTGAGTTGTAAGAATGCCGGATGGAACTGAATGGTCTTGTTTTCTTTCTGGTTTAGGCTATGCTTTGACTGACTCTCCTGTGGGATTGGCTGCATACATCTTGGAGAAGTTTTCTGCCTGGACCGATTCCAGCTTCCGTTATTTAGAAGATGGAGGACTAGAAAAGTGGGTATCATTTCTGATCCCTTCTCTTCTCAGTTTATCTATCTTTCCCTGCTTGCGTTTGCTGCAACTGTCAATAGAGCTTCTTAGTTTACGCTTTCATGTCCTGCATTCCGATGCTTGTCCAGCGCAGCTTTTTAAGAACATAGCCGCTCTGTTTGAAGTTAAGAATAACTGCACAGGGAGGTCTGTCCTGGTGTGCTGACAGCCCGAAGTTATTGAATTTCAAGAAGCCAAATGCTGCAGAAAAGCCAAAGAAGAACTCACTTGGGCATCTGGTGGTGAGCACGAGTGAAGCCCACAGTGAGCAGAAATACCTTCTGTCTGTTTCTGGCAGCCTTTCCCCCACTCCCTTTCCCTCACTCTGCCACATTGACTGCAGCTGCTCTCAGCAGAGGTCTGAACTCATCACTTCAGAGGGCTTTTGAAATTAGGCCAAGGTTAATGAAATTTGGCCATGGGCCATCTTACTAAGAGCCACAAGTTACCCACCCTTGCTATAAAACAAAGTCATAAATGACAGCAAAACTTGTTTTCTTCCTTGTAATTTAAAGTGTTTATTCTGCCACTTATCCATTTTTATTGGTTAAAATATTTCTAAGTTGTTCCATATCAATGCATCTCATGACAATCAATTAAATCAACCAAAAACCCTCCCAAAACGACCCAGTGTAAAAAAACCAGCAGTGGTAAATTAGAATTCAAGCTACTGTCAATGAGATCCAAAAGCAAGGCTAAATAGTCAAGTCTTAACTTGGCACCAAAAAAGCAGCCAAAATCAGAGCCAGCCTGGCCTCCAGTCAGAGAAGCACCACAACCCCTGTGTCACCACCCCTTTCTCATCTCCTGATTCTGAGAACAGAATGTATGGTCTAGCAGTGCATCATCTAAGTTGGACTGAAATTTTCCTTGCATGAGCCTTTTCTGCAAGGGAGTGATATCAGTGCCCTTGATTCAAGTGGAACTGTCTTGAGCCAAACAACGGAACCACATCTATTAGCCTTTATATACGAAGAAATCCAATGCACAGGCAGCTCACAGAAGTTTAATCCCCCAAAGTTTAATCCCCAACTTTTGTGTAGGTTTCCAGTAGGTAAGAGTTGACTACTTCTGGCCGTGCCCACATTGCTTTTGACCATGCCTACTCATGGAATGTGGCCTCTCAGAGCCTTTCTAGATTGAGATCCAGCCTTGGGAATGAAAAACGTTTCCCTAACCCTGGCTAAACTATTAGGAATCATGTTCACAGCATGTTCTTATACACATCGACTTGAAAATAAGTCCCCACCGAATTCAGCGTTGTCCAAATAAATTCAGTGAATTGAATTCAATGCACTGATTTCAGTGGAGCTTCTCCCAGGTAAGTGTGAAAAGGATTAACAGCCTCATTTGGGAAATGGGGAAGTGAAGTTGTTATGGAGAAGACATGCACATTCTGCCTGCAACATGTCAAAACAATGCTCTTTTCAGGACTCTTATTTAAAGATTGAATGTTTATCTTCACACATAAGTGCCCAAGGTATCTAACAACAATAAAATGCAAGATAAAAAGCAAAGGCAAATCAACTGAGAACAAATCAGTACAATTAAGGTATAGGACATTTCTACAGGAGGCATTTATTGTGCATGTGTGACTTCTGACTCATGGTTGTTTACAGGCTCTTCAGCGCTCCCCCCCCCTTTTTTTTTTAGAATGGGGAACATGAGATACTAAATTAAAAGGGGGCAAATGGAACTCTCTCCCCTGTAGTACATGTGCTATTCTGATATAGCACATTTCCACCTAGAGATTGTGTGGCAGAAAAACAGAAAAGGAAACTCTTTGCATAGAACTTAGATCCCAATGCTGCAACAATCTCCAAAGCAGATACAGTGATTAACAGCATAATAACAGCTTTGTGTAGGAAAGCCCATAAATGGCACCCACTGGTTAAAATCTGCTTCAGCAGTAAAGCAGCCTGATTGGATAAAAATGTCTTTGCCTGCTGGACATTAGAGAAGAGGCTTAGCAGAGATGCATTATTTATTAATTTAACGTTTTTCTGTGATGTCATTCATCAAAAATCTCATGACAGTTTACAAAATTTAAAAAACCAATAAATTCAACAATTGAAAAACCCTTAGTGCCAGTACTTCATGCCAAAATAATTAAAATACCATTTAACAATTAAAAAACTGGATAAATAAAAAGGTTTTGGCCTGCCACCAGAACAAATGAAGCATCGGTGCCAGGCACACCTCTCTGGGGAGCGAGTTCCGTAATCGGGTTAGGCTTAGGCATTAGCCTCCAGAAGCCATTTCTTTAATGCAGTATTGATTGAGCTATCTAATAATTAATAGTGAAAGTCCTATGGGATTGTGTTGGATAAAAGCTGGCAGGGAAAGGAAACCGCCCTCTGTTTCCTGCTGAAATTTAAAAATCAATACATTGCTATATATGGAAGTTCACTGAGATCTAACATCACTGTTTCTGGAACCCATTTTTCAGGAAGTTCAGTCTGGAAGACCTTCTCACAAACATTATGATCTACTGGGTTTCAGGCTGTATAACTTCTTCAATGCGGTTTTACAAAGAGAATGCTTGGAAAGCATTGCTTGGAGAAAAATATGACAAGTAAGGCATTGCTCTTTGCTAATTTTGAAGGGCTTTCTTCATACCATACATAACCAGAAGGTCCTGTGTCCCACTACAGTGTCTGAGGTCTGTTCTGGCATACCAAGGAACCCCAGTGCAGTATCTGTGGGTGCAGTGGGACCCCTGGACACTGCCAAGGGCACCCACAAAAGGATCCCCAACATGGGGCCCTGGGCACGCCATAAGAATGCTTTAAAATGTTTGGCTCATTGTTTCTTGTTTTTTAAAGATTCTTGTTGTTAGTCGCGAAGTCATGTCCATATGTGGGTTTGTATGAAATGCATACAATTTTCTAGGAATTATATACAAACTTCAGTAAGACCAGATATCCAAATAAATATGCATTTGAGGTTGGCATCTATTTGCCACCCATTTGTGTATCAAAAACATTGGAAGGTCCTCAAGCCAATGTATTATAGGAGGTTAGACTTTTTCTTTGCAGATTTGTAATATCAGTCATTCAGTTGTCAAAAAGGTACAAAGAATCCATTTTCTCCCCCACTTATGGATTTCCATGGGGCAGGTAAATAATTTTTTAAAAGGGTGTGTGTCAATGAATATTAAAGACTGTTCTACTACAAAATTTGCCCATGTAATAAAAGAAGCAACTCCCGGTCAATGCAAAAGCATGCATTTAAAAGAAACATTGACTGCATTGCACCATCACGAATTAGCTGAACTAGACATCCCTTCATAAAGATACATGAAATACATTTGTCTGCATGCAAGGCATGGCTGCAATGGGGATTCACCATCAGGCCAAGAAAGTCCAAGAAACTGTGTGGTAACAAAGCACTTTCTTGGGCAAACATGTTCAGATACATTTACATTCCTTAGACAACACCTTTAGATAGCTTTGGCCATCTAAATGGTTTCCCCTGCTCTTCACAAGGAAGAAGGGCTGAGTCACTTCCCGGATATGGCAGAAGGCAGCCGTGCCTCACATCCTGGCTCCTGGAATGCCCCCTCAGCACCTGTCCCAAAGGTGGCCCTCCATCTTCAGGGCCTCAGCCAGAGTGGGGGTCTCCCAGCGTAGGATCCTCAACGTAATCTCAGAAGGCTTTCTCGTGGTTGCAGGAAGGACTCTTCTTTTTCATATGACCAGCCAACAAGCTTGTCCTGACTGTAGGGTCGCACCCTTGGCCAAGTTGGAGCTAAATAACCTAACATTTAGTAAAATTATTACATTACTATATTAATTAATGTATTTAGCACCCCTGTCGCCCATTCGGGCCCGTAGTCAGCCTAAAAGTCAGGGAAGGGCTGCCAAAATAAATTGGGGCAGTTCATCTGGTCTGGAAGCCTTTAGAGACAATTTAAAAAATATATTTCTTTTTTTAAGGGGGCAGGGAAAATTTAGGGAGCAGCCCAGCCTAACCCAGTTACTAGCTAAAGACTCAGGCTTATTCATGATCTTGTTGTTTGGTTAAAAACTACTTAGGATAAAAGTATATCCCAGGGATGGGAGACTTTGCTGCTCAGAAGCAATGTTGTTCTGCAGAAAGTCTCTGGAGGCAGAATGTGGGCTTGCTATACACCTACAGCTTCTTGAGGACTAGCAGGTTCTCTAATAATCTACATAGTGATTGGCTAGGTGAAACTTATGTAGAAACTCAAAGGGGTGTAACTGAATTGTGAACAACTTCTCTCTCCCATCCTTTGAAGCCTATTTGCATTGTATTTGAGGTAAAACTGTTGGGCAGCTTTGCTGAAGGGCACATCTGGCTATGCCTCCCAGGATCAGGACAGTTTGCCTTCAGATATCAGTCACAGCAGCAGTGCCACCTGGGAACCTCTGGGGACCAGATTTGACCACCAAGCTTGAGGTTCTGCACCCTGGGAAAGCAGTTGGTCATTCTCCTATTTCTTGATTGTCTTGCAGGCTTGCTGTACGGGTTCCCACTGGAATTGCTAGCTTTCCCAATGAACCCCTGCACTTTCCTCGGCCATGGGTTGAGAAGAAGTATGCCAACGTTGTTTCATTCAACTACATGCCCAGAGGTGGTCACTTTGGAGCTCTTGAAGAACCAGAGCTCCTTGCAGCTGACATTGTACAGTTTGTGGAGAAAGTGGAAAAGGCTAATGTGACCAAATGAAGAAACAACTTGTTTGGGTTGTTGAGCTGCTATACTCAAAACTGTGGAACAGGTCCTGCAGGGTTGTATTTTCCCTTCTACGATAAACTACAGCACTGAATTTAGAAAAGGGAAACTTTAATTTCAGGGGAGTTGTTTGTCTTCTGTCCTTTATCCTGTGTTGCCAATCTAAATCAATCTGCATTCAAGCTGACTGTATTTGCTGAGAGAAGAAACTGACAACTGAGAGAGTGCAGTTGCTGAGGGGAAAAACTAACAACATAAAAGTCTCTGGATCCAGTTTTTATTATTTATAAAGCACCATCTCAGAGGAGAGGTTCCTGTCCCAAGGGGTTTATTGATGTCTAAAGAGGGGGATGCTGGAATAAAAGTTTGTGTGCATCTAGGTTTAAGAGAATGTACAGATTTTAATTCTTGCAGAAGGCCTCATTTCGTGCAGGCCTTGTTGCAGCTGAGACTAGTGTGCCTTGCAACTCCTCAGAAGTTAGTGTTTTCTTGTGTATTATTGTAAGAAATAAATTGGGCGTGACTGTACCAGAATCTGTTGTGTGTTGTTTGTAGAGCAGACACCAATGGTGGGCGGTCTGCCACATGAATCACCTCTTTCTCACCCTGTATTCACCATGCCTTTCATGTTTGTAATGACCTTTGACCATTATGTAGTGAGTGGGCCAGGGACTCACTCCGCAGGCTTTCCAAGGGTCTGTGTTACCAGAATCCAAGAGGAGGATACAGCGGAATCATAGAACCATGGAATGGTAGAGTTGGAAGGGGCCTAGAAGGGCCCCTGGGCCAACCCACTGCTGTTGCAGGTCACCCATTGGCAATGGAAGCGGTGATAGCAGGGCAGGAGGCTCAAAGTGAGGGCAGGAGCCATTTAAGCTCCACCAGGGTCGCTGCCAACAGTTTCCCAGGCAGACCATGATGGCAGACATGCTTTGGAAGAGATGGGAGGGGACTCAGGAGAAGAGGGAGAGCCCAGTCCTTGAACATGTGACAAGCTGCTGGGAAAGGCAAGCTACCCAGTTAGAGAGCTGTTGGTGGGGAAAGGGACATGTCCTACCAGGGCTCTGGCAAAACACCACAGCAGTTGCTTTCCCACTTACCCCATCCACGCACTGCTCTCTCTGATTTGCAAAGCCAGTGCTACCTCTACCATCCCCTCCCATTCCTTTCGGGGATGAATATTGCAAGCCTTCCCTTTTGTCTCCTCCACTTCTTGCCTCAAGAAACTGCTAGCTGAATCACATGCCTATTCAGAAGTAAATCACATTAGCCTCAATGACCTTACTCACAGGTAAACCATATCAACTCCAGTGCTCTTGGGTGGAAGGGAATGGCGCTTGACAGAATCTTGGTTTTCAATTTGTGAGGAGGAAATAAAAACTCCGGTCCATGGGAAAGATCAAATGTTTGAACCTCTGCCGCTTTATTGACCAGTGTCCCAGTACCTGCAGTCACTAACGATAATGCATTACCGGGTAGGAACTCAACTACAAAATCGCAGCCCATGTGCAGACACTTCTATAACATACACCAATACAGAGTGTCAAGTTTCCAGATAATCTGAGTACAATAGCCTCCTGATGTCTTTAGGCATGACATAATGTTCTAAATCATGAGTCCTCAAACTACAGCCTGCGGGACGGATCCGGCCCACCATGGCCATCCATCCGGCCCGTGCTGCTGTTTGCCCTGCGCACGCTTGCTGTGCAGGCGGGGAGGCAGTGGCTTGCTCACTTGGAGATGGTTTTGGACTCGCTGGGAGATCTCCGAGCGAGCCACCGCAGCGCAGGCCCAATGCTGCCTCGCGCATGCCCAGGCACCCCCACCTCACCAGCCCACGACGGTCACCGCAGCCTTTCAACTGGCCCCCTGTTGAAAAAATTTGAGGACCACTGTTCTAAACCATCAGAAATACCGGTAACAATAGGATGGAAAACATTACTGATTGCTGTATTGATAGGTCAGTCTAGCAAATACTTGACAGTTCAGGTCAGCCAAGTCTGTTTAAACATGCAAATGCGTCTGATGAAGTCTGGTTTGACAAATGTACTCAGCAGGGGCTCTGCTCCGTGAGACTAGATGTTAGGTGGGACCATTCAGAAACAAATGAACATTATTTCAGTTTTTCTACAGCTGATAAGAACACAGGTATTTCTAGTGACGCTTCTCAGTCTAGCTAATAATGCCATCTGCTTAAGGCAACGGCAACGTTAAACAGTGAGCAGGCTTGGAAAGCTGGTGCTTTGTGAGACAGAGGTGTATATTTGATTTCATAACACAAAGGCACATATAAGCAATGCTTTTCTACCAGGATTTATCTGAAATTTCCCAACACACTGCTGGTCCTGCAAGCTCCGCCAGATGGGAGGAGGAGAGCAGCAAACAGCACCTCAACTTCCGCTTGCCTCTTCCACGGGCCTTCTCCATGATTTTGAGCCAGTGTGCAGAGGGAATGGCACTTTGCCCTTTAAGACTCCACTCTTTCACACTTGTGCCTAGCTAATTTTTTAAGGGCCATTTTCTTTCACACATCACCTTTTCAGCTCCTCTGACTTCTCTTGCAATTGCATTTGTGGGTAACACAAGTTGCTCCACCTCCCTGATCGTTTTAGCTGCCTTTTTCTGCACTTTTCCCAACTCAGTAATGTCCTTTTTCAGGTACAGTGCCCAGAACTGTACACAACATTCCAAGTGCAGCTGCACCAAAGATTGTATAAGGGAGGTATGATTCTGGCAGTCCTTTCCTAAGTATACCTAACATGGAGTTTGTTTTTGTTTATTTTTCCACAGCAGTTGTGCACTGGCTCAGCTTTTTCATCGAGCTGTCAACCACAATCCCCTGATCCATTTCTGAGTAGACATGCTTAGGGTTGCATTGTATTTATATAATTATTTAATTTCTATACCACCCAAAAGCCAAAGCTCTCGTTGTAAATAAGGAATATGTTGTAAAGTACTTTGTTCTCTTATTACAATTGTTATAGCAATGGAATATTACCTGGATTACTATAGTAAGCTAAAACATGCCTCTGCCAACTCAAAAAAATGACCGCTGTGTTTAACTTTTATATTTAACTTTTGTTTTACACAATGCATAGAATTCCTTATAAAACTGCTGATCTATAGCTTTTCTAGAGTAACAAATGCTTAACTCTCCCCTTGCTTACACTGAATTTTTAAAATTCTAGTAAGCGTCTTGTGGTAAATATATCAATGCATGTCTTTGCATAAAAAGGAAATGCCAGATCTTGAGGAAAATGCTTATATTGCTTTAATGGATAAGTACCGTGCTTTGCACAACTGAAAGGTCAAAATAATAGCAGCGGTCCTCAGGAGAACACTCAGCCTCCTATGATTTCTGCAAACCACATTCAAAGTGCCTCACATCCAGCTCCTTTGTGGGCAAAGCACCATCCCTGGGATGCGACAGAATTCGGTTTGTGAATAACACTGTTGCTACTCCCACCCTTTGAAATGAATCAGGATATAACTATTGATCAATCAGAATGTTAAATGAAAAAAAGAATACATCAAAGGCAGAAATGTATGGCTGCTAGGTGCCTTTTCCTGCAGCCAGCCAAAGGTCTGGCTACAGGAAAAGGCATGGTCCCTCTTGCAGCTTTGGAAAAAGTCACAGCAGGTGCTCAATGTTTGGAGAACCCTCCACTCCACTCTTTCAGCTGACGTGGTTCTTTCCGCCAGAGCTGAGTCCCCAGCGATGGAGATGGTTTTTGGGACAGATGCAGGAGAACAAGGAGGGCTGGAACAAGGCACCACCAATTCCAAGCAGTGCCTCTGCCCCTCCACCTCGTGAGAAGGGGAAAAACACTTATATGGCTGAAATCAGCCATATAAACGCTTTGGAAGGTAAGGGAAATGCAAAGGCAAACCTGCCTGCTTAATTTGGAATGCCCCCAGTGCTTAATTGGATGCCCCCCACATTCTGAATTTGGGGCGGCATGGGGCGGCATAAAAATGTTTTAATAAATAAATAAATAAAAAGATTACAGGCAGCCGCATAGGGTTGTGCCCTGATTTACATAGGTACCATTGGTTAACGTGGAGAGACAGCAAATAGTCCCATGAAGACCAGAAGAAATGGCATCACCGTAGACTGTAATGGGAATTCCTTACTAATTTGTTGGCTTCTGAAGAACTTGAGAAGCACTACTAGTGCATCTTATTTCTGTGTTATTCCTCTGTGTGTGTGTGAGTGCGGGCATTTATCACTGTGTCTAACATAAGTATTAAAACCAAAATGTTTTGGTTTCTACCATCTTCAGCTGCTCTGATGCGAATCAAAGGATACTATAGCCAAAGAAGCAGTTACTTAGGGTGGGCAGATACTCTACTTTTACGGGTCAGTTCTCTATTTGAAATACTGTCCGAGTCAAATTTCAGGACAAAAGACAGCTTTGCGGTCCTTAAACAATATCTGAGGGGTTATAGGATGTTTTGGATTCTCAGCTCCGAGATCAGAGATGGTGCTCCAACCTTGAAGCTGGAAGTTCTGACACTTCTGCTTGTGGCCGGCTGGTGGCCAGGTGGCTACAACCATCTGCTTCTCTGAGATTGAAGGAACAAACCTCAGAGGTAGGAGAAGACAGGTAATTTGGTAGGAGGGGAGGAGACTGGAGAGGTCAGGAAATCAGCTATCCTGAGGTCTTTCCTGCCTCCCTTCTTTTCAGGAGCAGTTTTGCTAGAAAGACCAAAAAAAAAAAAAAAAAAGCCTGCCCAAAGAGAATATGTAAGAAACTGTAAGAAAGGAGAGCAGAATGTGTCATGCGCCATTATTCAGATAGTCTCTTCAAGTATGTAGGGGAACCCTCAGCTACTTTTTTAACATAATGTATTCAGATCTCTCACACAAGATCTCATCTTGGAGCACAATTAAATTCTTCATCAGATATGCAGATTTTTCTGTTTTCCAGAAATCATTCTCTTGGACAAGGATCTGCCTGTTCCTTGTTACCAGCCTGAGTAACAAGTTGAAAGTGATTGATCCAAAAGGATAGCTCCAGTACCCCATGTTCAAAATCTCCTTATATAAAAATTGGAGGCTATCAAAATTTCAAGTTTTTTTTACTCTATTTATATCCTATCAAAATACATACCTTAAAGATCCCATTCCTGTTCCTAAATCACCCAATGTCTAAATATCATGGGTATTCAAACTTCTTAACATGCTTGGACCTTCTAAAAACATGCATATAAAAATCTTCTAGAAATCTATTACTACATTTCTATACCACCTGTACCCAAAGCTCTCTGCGTGGTTCACAACATTAAGTCACCCATTCAAATTTCAACCGGGCCCAATCCTGCTTAGCTCCCAAGATTAGGCAGGGCCAGATGCTTCAGGCTAATGAACATAATCACATGTTAAAAGTGTGTAGATGACATAAAAATAATTTCTTTGACTCTAATCTGCCTAGTAAGTGTGTTTTGTCAAAACATATCTCTTGTATTTATAAACTAAGAAGCTTCCTTTTCTTACCATATTTGAGATAATTACTTTTTTATGATCG